AGATTAATAGTATACCAGGCAAGTAATAGTATACCAGGCAAGATAGACAGCAGGTAGATTAATCCTGCTATTGACTTTTTTTTGGGCTGCTTTCCAGTCTGAGAAGATGAGTGGAGCAGCTGGTGTGTTTTTTGTTTTGGTTGAGGCTTGGGTGTAGACTATTGCTCACAACTGGGTGTGAGTTGATTGGATTTGACCTTGTATTTAAATAGTCATTTGGACCCAAGAGCCACAGGCCCTTGAGCCTGATTCTAATTGTTTTCAGTCGAACATTCTTCTAAGGAGTATAGCAATGGTCTGTCAATTTACTGTACAGAGGTAACTTGTGGTTGCTGTGATGGTAAACATTGTGACACTGATGTGTCAAATGTGCTAATGATTACCCATGGTGGACAATGTTTGGTGGAGCTCCCAATTTAAAACAGGCTTGGAGGCAGAAATAGCATCCATCCAAAATAGCTTGCCCCCAGAAACTTTATGAACTTGGAGAAACAATGAAAGATATACATGTTCAGGACTTTCACAGGGTCACTATGAGTGATCTAGATGACTCTATGGCAATTAACAACAAAACATTGAATTTCTTTATTTTTGTTACAACAAGCAAGAAAACAGTTTTTAAGAAGTATATTTCTTGCTTGGTGGCCTAGTGGCAAGAAGCTGCATTGAAATCCTGAAGGAGTACATTCTCCTGTGCGATTAACTGTCTCTGAAAACCCACTGGAGTGTCAGCTATGGGTCAGTTCTGACTCGACAGTACACAAGAACAATATTTCTTTAAAACTTTATAAAGGAGAAGTGCCCTTTTGATCAAAGGGGACTGTTTTGAGAAAATCCTTTGTTATAGTTTATGTCTACCCTGTATTTATAGCTGAGAGACACTTCCTTCTATTAACATTAGTAAGATCTTCTGATCTGTTTTTTTCATGTCAAATGGATAGTGTGTCAATGTTATAACAAGGTTTAAAGGGTGGCACATGTCATACAGAAGTATGAACTCCCAATCTTCATGCTTATGAACCGAAAAGGATCAAGGAAGGCCTTTCCATGGCATTCAAATTATATTTTTTTCTCACTACTAGTATGATAATGTCCATAGAGTTTTCTAAAGCCTTTTATTTAAGAAGAAGATGGTCCATCCTGCTTCCTAGTCTGTCAGGAAATAAGGAGACACATTGAAAACAGGAAAATCTACAGGTAGGGACTTTTCCAAATTATTGAGGAGTAGTGATGTCAGTTTAAGGACTAAAGTGCATCTGATTCAGGCCATAGTCTTCCTGATTACTACCTATATGTCCATACCTGGACGATGAATAAGGATGACAGAGAAAGAATTGAAGCCTTTTAGCTGTGGTATTGGAGAAGAGCACTGGACATCCCACAGACAGCCAAAAAAAATTGAATAGCTATGTTTTGGAGAGGGTGCAGCTGGAGTGCTTTTTGGAGGCAAAAATAATGAAGCTTTGCCTCATGTACTTTGGAAATATTTCTAGGAGGGGCTATCCTTTCCAGAGGGACGTGAATTTGAGAAGTTTGGAGGATCAGCAAAAGAAAGGAAAACCCTCAACCAGGTGGACTGACTGCTGAGATGGACTCTTGTGTGTTAGGAAGTGTGAGGATGGCACAGGACAGGACTAGGTTCAGATCTTTTGTTTATTGAGTCATACTAGACTCAACAGCACCGAACAATAACAACCTTAGTATGATAGAAATTGTTGGACACTGGAGTTGTATGTGTACCTATGACAGAAATTGTTGGACATGGGAGAGATACATTTAATCACATTGGAAGAGATTACCCATCCTTTTCCCAGGAAGCAGCTAGTTGCATTGAACCACATGCCTTCAGGGTTGCAGCCATAGCTTCTTGCCACTAAGCCACCAGAGCTCCCTAATATCATTAAATTGCCAACTTAATCTTTTAATAATGTGGAGGCAAGCCTTTGAAGGAAAACTAAGGTGCTGGTATATCTGACTAGAGTAACTTCAAACCTAAATTGAAATTTCATTTTAACTGAGATTTTCATTTTCACCTCTCCAAAAAAAGCAAGATTCTGCTGAAAATTATCCAAAAACAATTGGAACAGCACATAAACAGAGAACTGCCAGATGTGCAGGCGGGGTTAAAAAGAGACTGTGGTACTAGGGATATTATAGTTCATGTTAGAAGGATCTTGGCAGAAAGCAGAGTACCAGAGGAATGTCTGTTTTTCATTGTCTATGCAAAGGTGTTTGACTGTGTGGATCACAACAAACTGTGGATAACTCTGAGAAGAATAAAAATCCCAAAACGCTTGATTGTGCTTATGCAAAACCTGTATTTGGACCAGGAAGCACACGTCAGAACAGACTAAGGAAAGTCTACATGGTTCAAAATCCAGAAAGTTGTATGCCAGGGATGCATCCTATATCCATACCTTTTCAATCTATATGCAGAACAGATATTCTCAGAGGCGGAGCTCTTTGAGGTGGAATGTGGCATCAGGTTTGGAGGAAGACTTGTTAAGCAAACTTATGGTATGAAGATGATACAACCTTGCTTGCCGAAACTGAGGAGGACCTAAGACATTTGCTGCAGAAGATCAATGGCTGCAGCTTTCAATATGGTTTGAATTTCAAAATCAAGAAAACAAAGATTCTCACAACTGGGCCGATTGGCAGCATCGTAATAGTGAAGAGATTAAGAGTGTTAACAACTTCAGCCTTCTTCGCTCCACAATCAACACTGTTGGTACCAGCAGCCAGGAAATCAAAAGATGAACTGCACTGGGAAAATCTGTTGTCAGGGACCTCTCCAGAGTACTAAAAAACAACAGTGTCAGTCTGGCGACTAAGGTGCCCCTGATCCAGGCCATGGTCTTTGCAATTACTTGCTATTCATCAGAAAGCTGGACAATGACTAGGGATGATGGGAGAATTGATGCCTTTGAGCTGTGGTGCTGGAGAAGAGTTTTTAATATACCGTGGACTGCTAGGAGAACAAACAGGTTCGTCCTGGAGAGGGTGACAGGGTGCTTCTTGGAGGCAAAGATTCTGAAGCTCCGTCTGGCATACTCTGGGCGTGTTGCAAGGAGGGACCAGTCTTTGGAGAAGGACATCAAGTTTTGGAGGGGGGAGGGGCAGCCAAGATAGGAAGACCCTCAATGAGATGGGTCAATTCAGTGACTGGGGTAATGGAAGTAGGTGTGTCAGAGACAGTGAAGTTGGCACAGGATAGAGCAGGGTTTAATGTTCTTGTACATAGGGTCACTATGAGTCACAAGCAACTCAACGGCACATAACAACAACAACAGTGCTTATGAAGAATATTTATCAAAACAACTATGAGATATCATCTCACCCCAGTAAGAATAGCAAAATTTACCAGAACAGCAAGCAACAAATGCTGGCGAGGTTGTGGAAAAAATGGAACCCTTATTCACTGTTGGTGGGAGTGCAAAATGGTGCAACCACTATGGAAGGTGGTATGGCACGTTCTCAAAAAGTTGCAAATACAGATACCATTTGACCCAGCAATTCCACTACTGGGAATATACCCCAAAGAGA